GTCGGAGGGTATCATCCAGCAGGCGGCGCCGAAGATGGGCGGTCTGGTCATCCCCGGTACCAAGGATGCGGCGGGTGTGAAGCAGACCACGGACCAGAAACCGGCCGAGGATGCGGCGGGGGAGGCGCGGCGCGAGGACGACATCCTTCTCGCCATCCGGGACGATGACGACGATGAGGAACAAGCACAGGTGCACAGCTTCGAGATTCCGAACGAGGCCGTCGAGCCGGTCAAGGCGCGCTGTCAGGCCATGGGTTGCCCCGCGTTGGAGGAGTACGATTTCCGGAACGACGAGATCAACCCGACGCTGGATATCGACTTGAAGCCCAACGCGCGAATTCGAAGTTACCAGGAGAAGAGCTTGAGTAAGATGTTCGGTAACGGACGTGCCAAGAGTGGAATCATCGTCCTGCCGTGTGGTGCAGGCAAGACCCTGGTGGGGATCACGGCGGCCTGCACGATCAAGAAGGGTACCATGGTCCTGTGCACCAGCTCCATGTCTGTGGTGCAATGGAGAAACGAGTTCTTGCGGTGGTCGAACATCGATCCGGGCGACATCGCCGTCTTCACCTCGGACAACAAGGAGAAGTTCCGCCGGTCGACCGGTATCATCGTCTCCACTTACTCCATGGTGTCTCAGACGCGGGCGCGATCGCACGATGCGCAGAAGATGATGGACTGGATTCAAGGGCGTGAATGGGGTCTGATGATCCTCGACGAGGTGCACGTCGTGCCTGCTTCCATGTTCCGAAAGGTCACATCCGCCATCGCGTGTCAGAGCAAGCTGGGGTTGACTGCCACCCTTCTGCGTGAAGACGACAAGATCAAGGATTTGAACTTCCTGATTGGTCCGAAGCTGTACGAGGCGAACTGGATGGAGCTGGCCGAGCAAGGGCACATCGCCAAGGTACAATGTGCCGAAGTGTGGTGCCCAATGACCACCGAGTTCTATTCGGAGTACATGCGGGAGAAGTCCAGAAAAGCGGCCTTGCTGTACATCATGAATCCGCGAAAGTTCCAGGCTTGTCAATTCCTGATTGACTACCACGAGAAGCGCGGGGACAAGGTCATTGTGTTCTCGGACAACGTCTATGCTCTCGAGCGGTATGCGCTCAAGCTGAACAAGGCCTACATCTACGGCGGCACGCCCCAGAACGAGCGCATGCGCATTCTCGAGAACTTCCAGCACAACGAGCAGGTCAACACGATCTTCTTGTCCAAGATCGGCGATACCTCGCTTGATCTGCCGGAAGCCACTTGCCTTATCCAGATCTCGTCCCACTACGGCTCGCGTCGCCAGGAGGCTCAGCGCTTGGGTCGGATTTTGCGGGCCAAGCGTCGTAACGACGAAGGCTTCAACGCGTTCTTCTACTCGTTGGTGTCGAAGGACACGGACGAGATGTTCTACTCCTCCCGGCGCCAGGCATTCTTGGTCGATCAAGGCTATGCCTTCAAGGTGATCACCCATCTGCAGGGGATCGAGAATCTGGAGGGCCTTGCGTATGCCACGCCTGCGGAACGACGCGAGCTGCTGCAGGAGGTGATGCTGCAGAACGAGACGTCCGCGGAGGTCGAGCACGTCAACGACGATCTGTTCTCCGAGCGCTCGGGGGGCGCCCGGGCTCGCAAGGGCGCCGTCAAGCGGAGCGCGGCGACTCTCAGTGGACTGGCGGGTGGCGAGGACATGGCCTACATCGAGTACAACCGGAGCCGGAACAAGCAGCTCAAGGACAAGGCCGGCCACCATCCGCTATTCCGGAAGATGGAGCGGGAGCGACTGAAACGGAAGAAGGAGTTGGAGGACTTCGTGCGGTAGCTATCTTTTTTGATACATATTTGGAACTAGTATGGCAGAATGAATAGCTCGAGCATGAACTATATAGGCGGAACTATAAATACAATAAATAAAATAAAGAAGCCACACTGCGGAAGCGGCCAGATCTTGATAGCCACTGGTGCAGTCTACGAAGACACCAGTAGAGGTGGGCTACTAATTCCTGGGCCAGGATAACCCATATTCTAGGTAGTTGACTCATAAATCACCCAGCAATTCTGCAATATACCCGGACTGACCTAGTCAACGAATTTCGACCACGGAGTATACTATACTCTTACTCAGGATGACACCGCCGGCAGCCCCGAACGACGATCTAGATCGCATTTCACATCTCAAGGGCCGCTCCCCAATCCCCAGCAAGCCCGCAGGCCGGCAAGCCCCGAAGGCCGAGCAAATTTATAAGCACATCGTGTTATCATGGCTCCGACGCTCCGATCATGGGACCCTGTTTTCACCACAATTCACCCGACTGTTTTCTGGGGTTGACACCTAAGTTAGCCTAGCTTGAATCAGAATGACGTTTCCCTTCCCGAGGTGGACGGAAGCTCGCGCTTAGTCGGTCTCCGCAAATCAAGCAGAGGGAATTTGTTTTCCTGCTTTACCTGGAGGATCTCCAGGGTCCCACGCGCATTCGACTTGATTCGCTCCAGCTTTACTTTCTGATTTCGCATCTCGGTCTCTAATAAACCCTGGGCCCGTCAGTCCAGCCCAGACCATATTTCTTATAAACCTGGGGAAAGGGGGGCTGGCTACTGGTGGGCTCGATGTGTCGGATTACCACACAAATTACTATTGCTCCTCCACGGACTAGATGCACTACTATCTGTAGTAGCATCGGATATAAATCTCCTGCGGTGGGACGGTTACCCTCCGTGCTAAGCAGGACGTGTTATACAACAACTGGAAGATCAGGCGCAGCCACTCCTGCGATACCTCGCACCGCGCTACGGAGTAACCAACATACACATACACCAACCCGCCTCGCCCGGTATACAACCTATCAACCACAACCACCACCACAAACACCAACACCAACACCAACGAAAAAAATGGCAACAGCCCACCAAATCCACATCTCGCCTACGACGACCACGGGCATCTTCTCTGTGGCCGCCACGGACGGCGGGAAAGGGACTGGTCCCAATGAAGCCTCCGCCCGCGCAACCAGCGAAGTCCTCCAGCATGACCTCGAGCACCACCACGTCTTCTTCAATGATCTGGGATTCCACAGTACCGTCCCTTGACCCCTCTTTAAAAAACACCCTGCTAATCCAAGGGGAAGACCACATCGTCCACCACATCCTAAGCATCTACGCCCTCGGTGCCTCGGCGGAGGAGATCCGCGCCGCCTACGAGCGCGACCGCGCCTACCAGCGGAAAGCGATCCCGGTGGACGAGGCGGTCGTGGCGGAGCTGGCCGACCGGAACCGGTTCCTGGGGCTGCTGGGGATGAAGGAGCATTACTCGAATTTTGTGAGGTTCTTTCAAAGGGAGATTGAGCGGGTGGGGGTCGAGGAGGTGTTGAAGGGATTTTTGTTCGGGCAGGATGAGGTTGCGAGGGCGATGTTGGGGAGGCTTTTTGGGGGTTTGTTTTCCCTTTTTTTTTTTTTTTTCTCTTCTTTTCTTTCGGTTCTAGTGGCTGTTACTGGAGGTTGAGGGGAGGGGGAGATGTCTGGTACGGTTGTTTGGGGGAGTGAGTGAATTGGCTTGCTGACTATTGATGCGGTTGCTGCCACAACCTAGGGCTGATCCATCCGTTCATCCACCTGGGCTTCGGCCTGGAATTCGAGCAGCCCGCCATCGTGGCCGAGGCGCTGGCGCAGACGGCCATCCACGAGGACTGGACGGGCCCGCTGTTCTTCTGGCCGGCCGAGGAGCGGGCCGGGGGGGTCGGGCGGCGCGGGGAGAAGGGCCTGCTGGCGATTCTGGAGGCGATGCGGCGGGACGAGACGCTGGCGCGGTCGGTGCAGTGGGAGGATGGGAACAAGATGCGCGACGGCGTGTTGGCCCGCGCGGGCGAGGCGATGCTCGCGTACGCGGCCGAGTACTCGGTGTCGGCGGAGCAGTTGGAGGAGCGGACCGCGGAGATGATCAACACCGTGGGTGAGTAGTCCTTAGTCATTGCCCAGATTCGGGTTTTATGGTTTTGTTGACGGCGTCCAGTCTACTACACCAGCGCCGCCCAACGGCCCTCCAAGCAGATCAAGTTCGACTTCTTCTACCTCCACAGCCTCAACTCCTCCATCTTCGTCTCCAAGCTCCTCACCCTCCCGTTCTTGGACACGCAATCCAAATGCCGTCTGCTCGAATGGAAGGGCCGTCTCGACCTCCTCCTCTACGTCTCCCGCGGCGTCCCGGAGTTGTACCTGGATGAGATCCGGGCCTATCCGACCGCGCACAGCTGGGCCGAAATCTTCGCTTTCTGCAACCGCCACCCGCAGGATGACGGCCATCTGGCCAAGCTGGTCCGTGCCGTCGCCCACGGCGAGCGGGCCTGTAGGCCGTTTGAGGATGAGTGGCCGATCAAAGGTGATATGTGGCTGCGCATTGCCAATATGGGTAGGTCTACGCTCCCCCTCATAATCAATATAGACTACCCGGCAGGGCCGTTCGGAAGGTACTATTCTAAAGCATTGGGGCTAACTAGCGGGGATCCACTTAGCAATGGACTCAACATCCGACCACGATCACCACCCGATGTGGGTCCGATCCACCGGGTTCGACCAGGCCTGGCGCGAATTCGACGGGCGAGCCGAGCTATAGGGAAACGCGCTAGGCTTGCGTCATTGGTAGGGTTCTGAAGGTCATCCATGCTGGTTGGGGAGGCATGTATCGGGGTTATAGCGAGGTATGATTAGCCATGAGTGAGCAGTAGCATGAATGAATAGTAGAACCTTCATGAACGAAACGAAAATCAGAGAGAGAAGCTAGACCTGACGGTGTAGAACAGGGGCGAAGGGTCGAGAATTCTGGGATGGCTTTGTGCAGCCGGCACTGCACTGCAGCCCCATCGGGCGAGGATCACGTGGTGGGTGGGCGGCTGTGTATTGTACTGTACTGTAACCCAGGTGTAGCTGGGGTGTATTGTAATGTACAGCAGTCACCTACACTGTTTGTTCTCCCGATATCTTGAAGCCACGCTAGGTTCGAGTGACTGCCTCCATTTCCCCCCCTGGACCTTATGTATATGGTACCGGCAATCTTGGGAAGTGGTAGGGAGGCTGGTAGATGATAGCCACAGTAGGCTTGAAGTCCCAGCACCTGCAGTGTAGCCGATCACGTGTGTCAGTTTAGTTGATGTATCTACCTGCATCAACAGCCCCGTCAGCCAGCTCGCTCTACCTTACTTACCCTTGGATTTACAACATTGACCAAGCACAGCTCTCCCTGCATCTCCCCCCAAGACAGCCATGTTCCCCCAAACTCCGATCCTATCTCTCCAAGCCTCCTCCCTGGGCCCCCTCCTGCACCTTCCAAATCCTCTCCGACCTCCACCTCGAACTCAACCAGCAATATCTCTCTTATGAGATTCCTGCTTGCGCTGAACATTTGATCCTCGCAGGCGACATCGGCCGTCTGGCTGACTACAAGCATTATCGCGATTTCTTGCAAAGACAAACAGACCGCTTCAAGGTCGTCCTACTAATCCTCGGCAACCATGAGTTTTACGGCCTGTCGATCGCCGCGGGGCTGGACAAGGCCTGGCAGCTGGAGCAGGAGCCCTGCCTGCACGGACGGCTGATCGTCCTCAACCGGACACGATATGATGTCCCGGGATTTGATGTCAGCGTGCTGGGCTGCACGTTCTGGTCCCACGTGCCTGATGAATCGCGCGAGATTGTGCAGGCGAAGATTCAAGACTTCCGCAAAATCACGGGTTGGACCGTGGCAGGCCACAACGCGATGCACGACGCTGATCTCGCGTGGTTACAGAATGAGATCCAGTCGATCCGTCGGGAGGCTCATCACGATAAGACGATGACACGGGCAGGAAAGCCCTGTATTAGTCGTCCCAGGCGGTCGATTCTCGTGGTGACCCACCACGCACCCTCACTCGAAAGGACATCCGCCCCGCAACACGCGCAGAACCCTTGGAGATTTGCATTTGGCACGGAGATCCTATCTCAGACTTCCGAGGGGGTAAAAGTGTGGGTGTTTGGGCACACGCATTACAGTGCTGAGTTTAGGGTGGGCGAGGTCTTGGTCGTTAGTAACCAGCGGGGATATGTGTTGCCTTGGAGTCCAGCGACTGCAGAGACTGCATTCGATGTTAGAAAGGTAATACGTCTCTCATGAGTCGGGGGTGAAACTCATAGATCTAGTCATACAGAGCCATCCTGGGGAGTATTATACTCCGGATGCTTGGGATTGAGGGGCACCAGGAAGCTGAAAGAAAGGGGGGTCCGGGGGTTCTCCCCCGGAATACTTTATTCTTCGAGGACTTGGGGTTGGGGGATACCAGGGAGTTGAAAAGAAGGGGGGTCCGGGGGTTCTCCCCCGGGATACTTTATACTTCGAGGACTTGGGATTGAGGTTATCAGGAAGCTGAAAGAAAGGTCCCTTGGGATACTTTATACTCTGAGTGCTTGGGATTGAGGGGCACCAGGGAGTTGAAAAGAAGGGAGGTCCGGGGGTTCTCCCCCGGAATTGAGGGCACTGTTGAAGTATAGGTAATGGTGATGTTTCATGTATTGTATCTTACCGTGCTGTAATGACAGGGGTGGCAGCCTCAGGCGGCAGTGGCGGGCGGTGGAAGGAAGGAGTGGGGCGATCTCCCCAACAAATGCCTCGAGCCCGCTTTTTATCTACTCGCCATCCCCTCGCTTGGCCTCGTTTCATCCTCCGAAGAAAGCAGTGCTTTCAATTTACCTGTCACATCAACCCATCAATCTTGCTTATCCTCTTGCTTCTCTCTCAAGAAACACACACACCATGGCTGGGGACGACACCCAAAACAACAACCAAGACACCTATCCCACCCACCACAACCACAACCAACACCACCACCACCACCATCACTACCACGGCTGGCCCGAAGACGACAATCCCTTCGTCGCGATCCGGCGCTTCGCCGACGAACAGATCTCCTCCGTGCTGCAGTCCGTAACCGGTCTCCCCTCCTCCATCAACCCCCCGTCGGAACGCTGGGCCATCTTCGACGACCACCCGCGCGACAACCCTCGCAACCCCAGCAGCCAGGAAGACAGCGACTGGGACCATGCCCCGACCGCCGTCGCGGCGCACCACCACCACTTCTACCCGCGCAACCACCGCAGCGACGCCGACTTCTTCTTCAACTCTTTCTTCGACCGATTCTGGCTGGACGCGGACGCGGACAACGACGACGATTTGGGGGCATCGCGGCGACTCCTCTTCCAGCCCTTCGCCCACCGGCCCATGCTGCACAACCTCATCAGCGACGCCTCGCCCGCCTGGCCCGTGCCCTACCTGATGTTCAGCCCGTACTCGCCGCTGCATCTCGAGCGGCGGCGCGACCGCGGAGAGAACAGCCGGGGGGTGTTTTCGTCGCTGATGTCGTCGCTGAGTCTCTCCGAGGGCGATGCTGATGCAGCTGCGGAGCCGGAGCCGGAGTCGGAGCCGCGGTGGCGCGAGGCATTCGAGGATCTTCTGCGGCTGGAGAACGGGAAGCCCATGCTCGAGCGGGAGGACATGACTAGTACCAAGACAGCGACCCGGGAATCCGGAACGGAGTGGCTGCAGGGTCTCGTGAAGCGGGGCAGTCTCGGCGACCGGTGGAAGTACGTTTCCGGTGGTTCTGGCGGTGGTCAGCCGTCGTGGTCGACGATCACCTTCGACAACTCGCAACTCCTGCAAGACGAGAAGATCCCGACGAAGAAGGCGGAGGTCATCGACACGGAGGACCTTGCCCAGCCGGCTGGCGGGGCCGACGCGCTCACGGAGCAGGATCTGTACGACCGGTTCCTGGACGATCTCCAGGCCCGCGAGCAGGCGTTCGCCCGCGAGATCCACGAGAGTCCCCTGCTGCGCTTGCTGCTGGACGACCGCCGCCGCTTCAGGGAGTTGGCGCCGCGCGAGGGGCTTTTTGGTCGGCAGCAGGACGACCAGCCTCTTACCGATAATGAGAGTGAAACCGCGCACAAACCCTACGTGATCGCCACGCAGACCCGCACCGAGCGCGTCCGCCTCCCCGACGGCGCTATTCAGACCAAGACGATTCGCCAAAAGCGGTTCTCCGATGGCCGCGAGGAGACGAATGAGTTGGTTGACGTCGTGAATCCGCGGCAGGGCGAGCTGCCCCCACAATTAGATGGGGATGGTGGCGCCGACCACAGCAAGGACGGTTGGTTCTGGAAGGGCTAGCTTGGTGGTTCTGCTTCCACTTTCTTTCGCCTGCCTGGCCAGGGTTTCTTTCCGCATTATTCCCATTTGTCTTCTTGTTTGCTTGGTGATGTCGCTTAGCGTTTCTCGTCTTGTATCGCCATAACTCTACACTGCATTGAAAATGTTTCTTTTGTCTAAACCGGGGGTGTGGAGGCACATGCAGCATGCGTGTCTAAAATGTGAGTCATCAGTCAAAAGTTAGGCGTGGCCATTCATTAAGGTTGGAAGGTTAAGGTATGGGAGTTAGGGTTGGAAATCAAAGCATAGCAAATATCAATCATTGCTGTATGCAAACCCATCGAGGTAACCAATGAGGTCCATCCGGGGTGAAGTATAATATAATATAGCATAGCACGGCATTCTCCAGTATCCCATGGAGCAGGGCTGGGCGGGGCTGGGCTGGAGGATGCAGCCGGCATCTGCTTCGTGTGCATTGCCGGCATTCGAATCAGGGATTGTGCGAGCACGGGCTCAGGTTTTCCTACAGCATGCACCTACTTGAGAATGAGATCAGGAATACTAACTTATCAACAAACTCCGTCTACGTCAAGATAGTTATAGCTAACCTAGCTATTACACAGCATTGTATTGTGCTTGCTCTGTTGTCTATGCCCTGCCCTGCCCTGCCCTGCCCTGCCCTGACTGAATATTGTCATCCGAAGTAAGCATAGCTAGGCCACCGTAGAGCTTTGGATCGAACATCTACATCTACCAACTTCTGCATCGACCCCTGACATACCTTCTTTCCTCTGGGCAGTAAGCAAAGCAGCCTCAATCAGCCTTCACGCTCTTCTTCTGCGCCTTGCCCGCCGTCCACCCCTTCTCCTCCCAGTAGGCGACGCTCTCCTCCATTTTCTTGTACGCCCAGGTGAACGGGGGGTCTGTGTCGCATCGTTAGCCATGATGAAAGCACTCATCGCCCAGCCCAGTACCCAAAAAAGCCAGGACTCTCAGGAAGAAACGCAAGGGAAGAAGGGGAGGGAACGTACAAAGAAACTGCCGCAGATCATGCCGATTGTCGTCCGGCGAGTACCCCTCGGCGTGGTAGCTGGGGGTCAGCACGGTCATCTTGTGGCGGTTGATGCTGTAGTTATAGAAAAAGTGGCGCGTCTTCTCGTACACCTCGCGGGGGCTGAGCTCGTGGCCCCATTTGTGCAGCAGGCGCTCGTACATCGACCACGGCCCCAGCTTGGCGACCTTGCGCAGCTGCCCGAACACCGACAGCTCGGCGTAGGTGACGCCCATGTCGGCCTCGTCGGACTGCACGTAGGTCTGGGTGATGGGCTCGAGCTCGGCGGTGGGCGTGGCGTGCAGGAACTCGTGCAGGATCGGGAGGCCGAAGGCGGTTTGGGCCCAGTGGATGAACTTCTTGAGGTCGACTTTGCTGATCGAGCCGATGGGGTTGAGCTGGCGGGGTTAGCTTTGGTGAAGGGGATTTGGGTGAAGGGGACGTACGTCGGCGCTGCTGGCGTCGTATTTGGTTAGGTAGCCGCGGAGACTTTGATGGTTAGTGTACGGCAATGGTCAACGGTGGGGAATGCTCTACACACCATTCTGCAAGATTGTTAGCACCGATCAGCCACAGCATTGTTCGGGGAAGTACCATCGACGTTGGACGATCCCAGCACAAGCAGCCCTCCACCACCCGGCCGCTGGCGGACCGTCGGAAGCATCTGCGCGAACAGATAGGAGAGCACCATTCGCAAGCGGGCCTGGATGTTCTGCAGCGCCTGGTTCTCCGCGAAGCTGCCGCCGTGCACCTTGAACTTCGGCTGGAAGTTGGTCACCACCGTGAACAGGTTCGTGACGGCGGTGACGACCGTGTCGAAGTTGAAGTCGATGTGGTAGGAGCCGATCTCCGCGGCCAGGGTCTTGGCCCGCTCGCGGGTCTCCTTGCTGGAGTTCTGCGTGCCCATGTAGTTGGTGTGAAAGATGCGGCTGGGAAGGTTCAGTTTTGTCGTCGGCGAGTTGATAAGGTGGTGCTTACTTGCAGACCTCCTGGCTGGTGGACGGAAGCCAGGCTGATCCCTCCGGCTCCGCGCAGAGCCGACGGACATCCTTGATCACCTGCTCATTCCCCTGCTGCACCGCTTTGACGACCTCCCTGCACATGGAGTGCACAATGATGGCCGTCGCACAGCTGTCGATGCCTCCGCTCAGAGGAACGAAGTATCCCGCTGCTCCACTGCGGCGAAGGTAGTCCCACAGCCAGCAGGCCGGACCGAGGGCGATCTCCTCCTCTGGGGCATGGTAACGGGGCTGAAGAACCTCAGATGGAGCAAGACCAGGATCAGCCTCCTCGCCGGTACGCGACAACCTGAAATCCAGATCGAGACGGACGAAGGGGCTCTGCCTGCTGGCCTGCATGCTGCGGCTCACGCTGGAGCGGTACGAGCGGACCTGTCCGAGTCAGCCGACGCCCCCGCTCGAGGAGCAGAAAGAATACCTCTTCAATGTCCACAGTGGCAGTGACAACCTCGACGTCGTTGAGCGAGAATTGCGAGCCCTGGGCCACGATGTTGCCGTTGACGACGATCATCGCACACCCGTCGTAGTACAGACGATCACCGTCGCAGCCCTGCTGGTTAGCGTACAGATAAATGCCACCACTCTGCAGACCGATCAGCATCTCAACCACACCCAGTTTGGGGATATTCTCACCAATTTAGTCGCCTGCGTGATAAGGTTGACGCGGGTATCGAGCTTCCTGAGTTCATGGTGGCTGCCCGACGAGTTCGAGATGATCTCCACGCCGGCGAGACCGTAAGGAATATGGGGGCTACATCCATCGATCAGCACAGCCTTCGAACGGGCGGAGAACCGGGTTACCCATTGGGAGTGAACAGCTCCTCGCACGTCTCCAAGCCCAGGCACGTATCCCTGGTGCTGATGACTGCATCACCGAAGGGCACCTTGTACTGGCCGGTGATCTTGCCGACGATCTGCTCCAAGTAGTAATCCTCGATCTCCTGGGGGCGTTGCCAGGGAGTGAAATGTCTCATCTCCCGATAGTTGCCATCTGCATGAGATCGTCAGCGATTTGCGCATCACACAGCATCTGCCTGGAGGACCCCACCATTGGCAAGCCACATCTTCGGCCGGATCAAGATAATCTTGCGGTTGAAGAAGATCACCCTAGTCTTGTCAGACTACCCTCGTATACCCCCGAAATAGCAAGCTCACCGGCAATTGTACCGCACGTTCCGGTGACGAACGGGCATTCTACCATCCTGTCAGCTGCCGTCGCAGACCAGGCTATCTGACTTGCACAACTCACCCAACATCGACCACGATATCCTGACAGTCAGGGTGGTCGATGATGCGCGCCAGCATCTCCCACGAATGCAGGAACGTGTCGCCCTCGATGAAGGCGTCCAAGCAGCCATAGCCTAGTCCGGTGTCAACGAGTTCCCTTCAAGACACATAGACCATAGGCGATATACCGGTAATCTCCAGCTCCGGACCGACGCGCAGGGTGGCTCCGGCTGCCTTGGCCTGGCGGATACTTTCGATGATGCGCTCAGCATTGCCCTCGAAGTCGAGAGCCCATTGGTTGAGCGAGCTGCAGGTGGGATGGTTAGAACGGGGTTGCACGTAAGCCAACAACGCGGAGGAGCCACGTACCATGTTGCGAGAGTGACCAGGTGGCCCATTGTTGGAGTTAGAAAGTGGCAACCGACCGATTGGGAGGTGAGGATTGACAGGCTGGGGCGTGATTGATAAGAGTTGGAGAAATGCCACTGCCCCCCGGTAAGTCGTCGAGATGCACGGTCACGTGTGTGGGGTGCTTCCCGATTGCCCCTCAGTGTATTGGTATTACAGTCCTATAGCCACAATGGACTTCTACATCGGTGTAAACATTGTAATTTAAGTACCAGTGGCGCAGATCCTCGGCACGAAACCAGCTGATTAATCCATCGTTATCGGAGAAGACGAGAGAAGAGAAGAAGTACAAATGCCCATGTCTTCGGGTTCGCAGTTTCTTTTCCTCTCTGACTCGTGCACTGACTGTCCTCAATTACCTTTCTTCTTTCTAACCACTGCAGGCATCGAGTCCTGCATTCCCCTTCCTCCATCACATCACTTAAGAACCACAACCACAACCACCCACAATGACCAGCACCAGCACCGACTCCCTAATCCCCAACCCCGCGCACATCCAAGCCGAAACCATGCTGGCCCGCCAATTCGGCCGCGAAACCGCCAACTACTTCTCCAGTACGTCCCTTGCCCTTGCCCTTGCCCCTCAGAATCCCCCTTAAAACAGCACCCTCCTCTTCCCCCCTCAAATCTAAACCAAGTATACTAACCGACAAAGGCTCCCCCCTAAACCGCCTCTCCTTCCTCCGCTCCAACCACCCCTTCCTCTCCGCCGCCCTCAACCACCCCTCCACCCGCTTCGTCCTCCTCAAGGACCTCGCCCCGCTCACGCAGACCGCCTCCCCCGCCTCGCCCTACTACGCCCGGTACGACGAGATCCAGCCCCTCGTGCCAGCCACCATCTACGACCAATCCGAAGAGGAGATTCTGGCCGCGTACGACTCGCGCAAGCCGACCGCCGCGACGCCGATTTTTCTAGGGCTGGATGAAAGAACCTCCCCCAAAGACGAGGGGGCGGCAGCGTCATTCGCGTGGAAGATCTACGCCGGGACGCCGTATTTCGCGCTGGATGTGAGCGGACCGCGTGGCGGGGAGGAGACGCAGCAGCAGCAAACGAAAAAAGTGGTGGAGGCGTTGGAGGCGAAGGGATTGAGCTTTCTGCAGGCGCGCGTGGTGATGAGTTTTGGTGCCGATCAGGGTATGTCCCCTTTGCCTTTCCCTAATTCTGTGGTGCTGGATGGGTGGATGGATGGAAGGCTGATGCGATGTCGACGAGTGTAGCGGCGATCTACGCGCAAGCGCGCGCGCTGATCGACTGGAACACGCGCAACACCTTCTGCGGGACGTGCGGGCAGCGGACGATCGCGGTGCACTCGGGGACGAAACGGGCGTGCCCGGCGACGGACGTGGCGCGGCCGGCGGCGGGCCTGCCGGCGGAGCGGCCGGCGTGCAGCACGCGGACGACGATCTCGAACCTAAGCTTCCCGCGGACGGACCCGACGATCATCGTGGCGGTGATGTCGGCGGACGCGCAGCGGATCCTCCTGGGGCGGTCGAAGCGGTTCCCGCCGAACTGGTACTCGACGCTGGCCGGGTTCATCGAGCCGGCGGAGTCGGTCGAGGACGCGGTGCGCCGCGAGGTCTGGGAGGAGGCCGGCGTCACGCTGTCGCGCGTCGTCATCCACTCCTCCCAGCCCTGGCCGTACCCGGCCAACCTAATGATCGGCGCCATCGCCCAGGTCAGCGACGCCGCGCACGAGACGATCAACCTCGAGCATGACCCGGAGCTGGAGGATGCCAGGTGGTTCGACATCGCGGAGGTGGAGGAGGCGCTGCGCAATGGGGTCAGTGCGCTCGGCGATGGGCCGGGCCCCGAGTATAAGGAGGGCGCGTTGCGCTTGCCGCCGCCCACGGCGATTGCCAACCAACTCATTCGGGCGGCGATCAGTATAGATCTCCTTGGCGGGGAGAAGAACTCGAAGATGTAGAATAGATTAGACAGGGCTTAGACATTTGCTGTGCTTCGTGTGGGGGGTTTGTTTTCTTGGGAAGCGAAATGTTGTTCACGTTTTATATACAAGTACATGGTACCAACACCTCCCACAATTAACACAATTCTGAGTGTTATTGCTGCTGTCTACAACATCTGTTCATCCTATGAGAAAGCCATCGCTATAGCTTCCGGACTCAGACATCCTCACTCTGGCCCTATAGAACGCTTTAGTCAAAAGTGTCACTTCAGAGATTGGCGTACACAGTACCATCGCGGAGTTCGTGGATACTATCACGGCTAGTCGGCGAGCCCACCTCGGCGTACCGCCTGCCATCCCGCAGCTCGTGGATCGTGATGCGACGGTGCGATTTGCGCCGCCGAGAGCCCCCGGCGCCCCGGTTCGAGGTCGACGAGGCTTCGCGCATCTCGCCGCCGCCGCCGCCCGTCGAATTCACGCTCCCCGCGTCGCTCAGCCCGGTGACGCTGTGCGGCGTGGCCTCGCGGCTCTCGCGTTCGACCGACGCCTGCAGCTGGTGATCGGCGACCATCGCCATCCCGTTCTCGTGGTACCACTGGCGCAGGTCCGTGGCGTAGGTCGCCTCCTCGGGGCCGTATTCGACCGGCGGGCCGGAGACCTGCGCGTCGGCGCCGGCCGCGGTGAACACGGCCCAGGCGCTTGTCTCCACGCTGGCGAGCATCATGGCATGGTTGAAGCTCTTGACCTGGAAGTCTCGCAGGAGGATCGCGTCGCCCTCCGCCACGGACGGCAGGGCCGTCTTGTTGGGCCGGAAGATCTGCGCGAAGAGCATGGTTCCCGCCAAGGAAGGGTCGGTCAGCCCCAGCGTCAGGATGTAGTCTTTCTTGCCGGACGTTGCCCGGATCACGGGTCGCACCTCGGCGACCGTGGAGATCGTATCGATGAGCCCTCGGAAATGGTCGACCAGGGTGGCCAGCGGCGCGAAGTAGGACAGTTTGCTGCGCAGGCCCGGGTAGTTGCGATTCAGGGCGACGATGCGAGACACGTCGCCCCCAACCAGCATCACCTCGTCCCCGCCGTGCGTGGCATGGACGTCGGTCTCCTTACCCACGTGGCCGCCTTCGTCCCGGTGGAATTCCTTCTGCGACGGTGCAGAGGCATAGCTCTCTGTCTCGGAGCCTTCGTCTACCGAGACGAATTCCTCGCTTTCGACATCCTGCATATCTGCATCTACCTGTGTGGGCTCAGGAGTCGGCGGTATTTCGTTTGCAGCGGTAGCTACTGACGGAAGCTTTCCCATGCCGATCAACTGTGAAGGCTCCGGGGTGATCAATTGGTGGTCAAGTTGGAGGCTTGGACTTTGGCGACTCAAATCAGCGGATATAGGCAAGCTCTCCGAGGCACCATCAAGCGACAGGCCTGCATCCACTGGCTGCTGATCTGCCAAGGTTGTTTCATCATCCTCGGGTTGGATCATTGTATCAACCAGGATGTGTTGCGAATCGGGTAAATGAGTTGCTGCTGAGAATGTAGCCGACTCAAGGAGTGCAGGGTCAATTGGGAGATCAGCCGAATGCGTGAGAGGGCCAGCGCTGTGGTCGACATGTTCAAAATCAGGTCCACTCGACGAAAAGAACTCTAGACTTTCGTAGCCAGGGCCGTGCATTAGTGTCGTTGTTTGAATTTCTTGAATGCCAGCGGGACTTTCTGGGTTCTGGACTGGGTCCACATCATGATATGGCACAGGCGCAGACCCTGGCTCGTGGACCAATGCTTGCATATGGTCAGCCTGGTCGACTTCCTCTGCGACGTGCTCCTGAATGTATGATTCCTCAAGCTGCACAGTATCAACCTCTTTGGCTTGTGCCTGCTCATCCTCAGACTCTTCAGTCCCAGTATGTTGTCGCTTCACGCTTTCCTCGACGAGGATCTCCCCTCTCGGTTGCTCGTGTTCATCGACCGGCAATCCCTTCATCGTTTCCCCGTCACTTGCATCTTCTGCTTCTGAATGTACATTCCCCATGTCCTCATGGACTGAACGGTTGTCGTTTTCTCGCTCTTCCAGACCTCTTTCCGGCTCTTGTTCTTGCCCATGCCTTTGGTCTCGAATCGATCGTTCGTCAACCTCGGATACAACATCCCCTTCAGCATCTTCGACCTCAGCATCGAAAGTATAGGGAACATTTGTCTCTTCATCCTCGTCGACCATCTCCTCGTCGTGCACATCTTCGTCGTCTTCCATATCTTCCTCATCGTAAATATCTTCCTCATCATCAACGACTTCCGAGTCTGAAGCCTCATCGTCAAATTGTCCTGATCGTTCGGCGCTTGAAACACTTGCATCTCTCGGCCTTGAGTAAGCCCCAGGGCTCGGCTGTCCAGGCGCAGGTTCATCTTCGCTGTCACTGTCCAAAACAATGATCTCCGGGGAATTCCTTTTCGGTGGGGGCGCCTCGTGCCTGACATCCTCTGGATCCGACTCCGACTCAACACGGTCATCATATCCTTCCCCGTCGTCTTCGTCGTCATCGTACATATCCTCTTCGTCCAGTTCATCCTCATCCTCATCGACTTCATCCAAATCACCTTCATCGGACACGTCTTCCTCAAAGTGTTCGGATTCCTCGTCGAAATCATAGTGGCCTGCGGGCCCTTCGACACCATGATCTTCCACAACTGATCCTACGTCGTCGTCCGATGCCATATCGCCATCTGTCCTTGGATCGGGGATGGGTTCCGCGTCGTCCGCCACATCCTGTTCATTTTCGTCGGCCAAGTCGACCGATCGAGGCTCGGAGCCTTGGCTGGCAAGCTCGTCTTCAGGCTCCTCAATCGCCGATTCCTCTCCACTCGTGTTCTCAGCTTCAGAGTATTCCTCTTCATCTTGGGGGATATGACGGAGTTCTTGCTCCTGGTCGTCTGTTTCGCCATGGAAGGTCTCATCTTCGATTTCCGTCACGGTCCATTCAGTTGGCAATGAGTCGGCATCCACCATTTCTAAATCCGCATCTCTCTCTGGCGACGGAGCTTCAGCAGCCAGGGCAGGTGTTGATACATTCCCTTCCACGCTCCCTGCTTCCTCCACGATTGAAAGCCCCGAACCTTCCATGAGCAGCTCAGAGACAGGGGCTGGCTCAGCAGCTTCATTGCTGGGAGTACCTGTGGCACCCCCTGTTAACGGCCCTTGGGCTTGAAGTTCAATAGACTCGATCGCGATCGCTGCACGAGACCCAGCCTCGCTTTCTGCGTACGAAGATTCCCGGGCTAAGTCTGACTGCGGTGCAGCTAGCTGGAACGGATCAGACGTAGCTGGCTCGGACGTGATTGCAACCGAACCAAAGTACCCCTGCGGGCTATTTGAGGAGCTAATCAGTGGAGAGGGAATTGGCAGACCCGGAGAAGGAATCGGATTCAGCCGCGGAGTGTCTGTGGGAAGGTGGCCAGAAAGACTTGAAATAGTCCTATGCATATGACGCGAAAACTCAAGCCGCCGAGAAAGATCCGGCCGAAGAAATTGCGCATCCGGCTTCGGTTGGGCCTTTTCCGGGGTATTATCCTCACGAGCCTCGGGCGTCTCCGACATTCGGTCTACATCTGAGACTGCACTTGTAGGTTCTTCTTGGACCATAGGGACGGAAGGCAGCTGATCGGTCCCGCCGGTCTGAGGCGACACGGGTACCGTCGGGACTTCCGGGGAGCCATCCGCTTCCTCAGCGGCCTCTTCCAACTCCGCTGCCGCTTGGTTGAACCAGGCCTCGTCGTCGAACATAGCCGTCCAGTCCCCCGGTATTTCCAGATCCTCAGGGCTGGCTGGTTCGTCCACCAGCCGCCAGTCATTGCGTATACTGAACCGCGTCCGTTTCCTCCCCTTGCCCGGAACGAATCCATCATCCTCCGCGAAGGGATCAAAGGCCGGATGCAAAGCCGAGCCAGCTATATGACTTCCGATCGACGTTCTTGAGTGTCCCAGGAACGCGGGCGATTGCCAGGTTGCCGAGTCGAGGCCGCGGGGGAAGGCACTGCCTCTCGGATCGGGGGTAGTCGGTGTGGACGTGGTACTCTCGGCAGCGGGCAGAGGCGACAAGGGGGGATCGATCTTGATGGTGGAAAGGTGTTGATCGGAGCGCCATACCTAGAACGCAATGAGCCACCACCATTTTCCAGGCTCTCTGTGGATTCACTCACCTCGACCAGAACCGTGGTCTCGAAATGCACATCCCAGGCGACGCTCTTGCCCGGGGTGAGAACTTTCGGGTCATTGTCGGTCAGCCTGGATCCATTCAGGCTGAGATACACATTGTCGCCGATCCCAACCTGCGACTTGGCGACCTCTTCCGCGATGTGTCCGTGGAAGACGACCCTCACTTGTCCGCCAGACCGCCGGAGCCGAAAGTCGGGCTCCGCCAGAAGCAGACTGATCGAATGCGTGGACGATGAGTAGGGCCATAGCAGAGCCACTACACCGCGTACAGAGTTGCTGGGTAGATTGTCGAGCGACGGGGCGAGCTGCGCAATGGGGATCAGGGTCGATTGAAGGTGTTCGGAGACCGGAGCTTGTTGTTTATCGTGGGCGTCCATCGCTGTGGCCGCTTAGTGGTCATGCGCGTTCCACATTGCCTGAGTCATAGGTACTGGCTGTCCTGAATTAAAACCTAATAGCCACTCAGGTGGAGGGGTTGTGCAATGGCCGACAAGAGCTGGAGCACAAAAAAAAGAGTTTCTTGTTTGGATGGCAGCACGCGCGGGAAATCGAAAGGATGCGGAGAGGAGGAAGGAGGAGAAGGAGAGGTTGTTGCGTCACAAAACCCGGCGTATTGGAGCTGTAATATTACAGACCTCTCTTTGTTCTTGCCGCAACCCACCGCCGAGTGGAGTCGGTAATGGTATGTCAACCCCATGGCACATTGTTCCAGGCTCTCCCACATGTGATGGAGTAGGATTGATTTGGAAAGAAAAACATGATTGAAGTTCCCATGATTGGAAATCCCTGTCAGTTTCAGGAATATTCTTTCTGCATG